GATAGCCAAAACCACCCTTATATTGAAAAACAAAAGGCCCAGGATAGCCAAAACCACCCTTTTCAACAAGGCAACATCTGGAGGCATCACCATCCCTGACTTCAAGCTATTTTATAGAGCTATAGTCCTGAAAACCCCTTGGTATTGGCACAAAAATAGACATGTAGACCAATGGAATTGAATATAAAACCATGATATTAACCCACACACATATGAACACTTGGTTTTTGACAGAGAAACAAAAATTATACAATGGAAAAAAGAAGGCACCTTCAACAAATGGTGATGCCATAACTGGATGCTGGTATGTAGATGACTGTAGATAGATCCATGTCTATGCTCATGCACAAAGCTTAAGTCCAAATGGATTAAAGACTTCAACATAAATCCAGTAACACTGAACCTGTTAGAAATGAAAGTGGGAGGTACCCTTGAACGAATTGGTACAGGAGACTGCTTCCTGAACATCACACCAGCAGCACAGACATCGAGATCAACAATTAATAAATGGGACCTGCTGAAGCTGAGAAGCTTTTGCAAGGCAAAGGACACATTCAACAATACAGCAAGGCAGCCCATAGAATGAGAAAAGATATTCACTAACCCCACATCTGACAGAGGGCTGATCTCCAAAATCTACAAAGAACTCAAGAAGCAAGTCTCCAAAGTACCAAAAGATCCAATGAAAAATGCGGTACAGAACTAAATACAGAATTCTCAGTAGAGGAGACCAAAATGGCTGAGAGACATTTAAGAAAGTGCTCAACATTCTCAGCCATCTGGAAAATGCAAATAAAAACAATTCTGAGATACCATCTTACTTCTGTCAGAATGGCTAAAATCAATAACACCAATGATAGTTCCTGCTGGAGAGGATTTGAAGAAAGGGGAACACTACTCCACTGCTGGTAGGAGTGCCAACTCGTACAGCCACTATGGAAATCAGTATGGAGATTCTTTAGGAAAATGGGAATCAGTCTACCACAAGATCCAGCAATTCCACTCTTAGGCATATACCCCAAAATGCTCATTCATACAACAAGGATGTCTGTTCCTCTATGCTTATAGCAGCACTATTTGTAATAGCCAGAACCTGGAAGCAACCTAGATGCCCCTCAACTGAAGAGTGGATAGAGAAAATGTGGTACATTTACACAATGGAATGCTATTCAGCAGAAAAAAAACCAATGGAATCCTGAAATCTGCTGGCAAATGAATTGCACTAGAAGAAAACCATCCTGAATGAGGTAACCCAGTCACAAAAAGACAAACATTGTATGTACTCACTCATATATAGATTTAGACATGAATCATGGGAGTGTCTGTATACAATCCCACTGCCAGAAAGGCAGGGAAACCAGAAGCACCCTAAGAGAGATACATAGTACCCCAGAGAAGGTGGAATGAGGCAGGATCTCCTCAGCAGATTTGGAGCATGGGGTGGAGGAGGGGAAAGAGAGCCAGGAAAAAGGGAGGGAGACAAGAGGAAGGGAGAGGAGGACATGGGGGAGCAGGAAAGTTGAGTTGGGGGAAGAATAGAGGAGAGCAGGATGAGAGATACTATAATAGATGGAGCCATTCTAGGTTTGAGGGGAGATCAGGCACTAATGTAAACTCCAGAGATCTACAAGAATGACACCACTGGGCAAACTAAGCAGTAGTGGAGAGACTACTTTAAATGCCCCTCCCTAATAATGACTTTGATGACGATCTTGCATACCATCCTAGAACCTCCATCCAGTGACAGACAGAAGCAGAGGCAGACACCCATAGCCAAGCACTGAACTGAACTGGAAATCAGTGACCGAGAGGGAGCAATGATGAGCAAAGAGGTCAAGCCTGGACTGGTGAATTCCAGAGAAACAGCTGACCTGTACAAGGGGAAGAACTTAGACCCCAGCCTGATGGCTTAGAGTCCAACATAGGACTGATCCAGACCCCCTGAATGTGGGTGTCAGTGAGGAGACTCAGGCAATCTATGGGTTTTTTGGGTAGTAGATCAATATTTATCCCTGGCACACAAATGGACTTTGGGGACCCATCCCAAATGCTTTTTTAATTCGGACACTTTGGGGAGGGCCTGGTCCCTCCCCAGAATGAAATGACAAACTCTAGAGATCCTCCATGGAGGGCCAAAATTTGATATATTTGTTTTGTGTCTCAGTATGCTGCCTATTTTGGATAATCTTGCAAGAGGTGCTGAGTTGAATGTATATTATTTGACTAAGGGGTTGAATGTGACAGTTGTATTTTGAACATGGGTGATATGAGTCTGGGGTGGAGACTGGAGAATGAGAGCATGACAAGCAGGGCTGTCTAGACAAGTTCAGGGTACTGGCTATGGAACCCAGATGGGATATGTAGTGAATTAAGGGAGGATTTGATAGACTTCTACAGCTAGGTTATGACACAAGATGCATATGTCCTGGCTGAGTGGAGGGATTGGGTGTGGTGGATAAGGATCCTTTATATTATTTATACTATATTCTGTACATATAGGTTTTTTTATCAGTGGATGTCCCATGGCCCTGGCATCTCCAATAGCTTGGTATCTCCACTGTAACTTAGGCTTCACCTTAACAGCATCATGCAATAAGCCTATCAGGACATCCTAACATAGGCTCACATTCTGTCTGAGGCCAGGAAGTCCAGCAGATGCCTTCATGATCATCTTGATATCATATCTTTCATGTCTGTAAAACCACCACTATGTGAGTGATGCTGCCAAATTTTCAGGCAAGATAAATATGTGCCCCAGTCACCCTGGAAAATGGTTGTATCTGGAGATGTGCTAACCCTCACTAACTACATTTCTGGGCTTTTGTTTCTGAGAGGGAACACTTTGTGCAATAGTTTTAATTTGGGCTCTTTCTTTTCTACTTGCTTTAAATTTTCATTAATTAGAGCTTTCAATGGGTGAATTATGCTGAAAAGTACTTTTCAAGTTGGAATAGTACAAGGCACATTGTTTCTCTCTAATGGTGCTAACCTCTTCAGCAATTACAGCTACTTTTTCAACAACCCTTCTTGTTGGCAACTTAAAACTTTGTCATACTCCTTTCCTTGACAGTTTTCCCATTTTTCATAACTATCTGCTGTATCTCAGTGCAGATCTGAATTAAAACAGTGAGTCATAGCCATACCGCATCCTGAGTGCAAGTTGTTTTAAGTTTCTCCTGAGAGAGTTCCACAGCTAAGCACTGAGCTGAACTACTGGAATCCAGTTATAGAGAGGGAAGGGTGATGAGCAAAGGGGTCAAGACCATGCTGGGGAAACCCACAAAAATAGCTAACCTGAGCAAGTGAGAGCTCATGGACCTCAGTCTGACAGCTGTGGAACAAGCACAGGACTGAACCAGGCTCACTGAACGTGAATGTCAGTTGGGATGCCTGGGCAGTCTATGGGACCACTGACAGTGGAACCAGTATTTATCCCTAGTGAAGGAAATTTGGGAGCCCATTTCCTATGCAGGGATAATCTTTCAGCCTAGAAACATGGAGGAACACCTAGGCTCTGCATCAAGTGATGTGATATACATTTTTGATCCCCTATGGGAGGCCTCAACCTTCCTGGGGAGTGAGTAGGAGGGTGGGATGGTAGGTTGTTGGGGGGAGTTGGAGGACAGGAGGGAGAGAGACATGGGATTGCTATATAATATAAGATTGTTTTTAACTAAAAAAAAGAGAAAAAATTTCTCCTGCCAAATTAATCAGCCCCCTATTTTTTAATTTGTCTTCAATCAACTTCTCAGGACATGGGCAGAAGAAAACAGTCAGATTATTTGCCAAAATACAACTTAAAAGGCCCATAATCCGATTGTCCATAGAGTCCTCCCTCCTTTCTGAATTCTTATGAGTCAAATCTCAGTTGTTGACATTTTCCATACATTCTCATTTGTTCTACAAAGCCCAATAGCTCGTTAAGGTCTGCCTATAGCATTCTGATCTAACACTCCACATCCCTCATGCATATCAATTCCTAAAGACCTATGCTCAGACTTACCCCGGCAGTAGCTTTCCTTCCTGGTACCATTTTTTAATTAGATACATTTCTTGGTGATGTGACATTCTCATTTCAGTAACAATTCACTCAGGATTTCATTTGATCCCTACAAATAATAATGTCATTGTCTCTTCTCAATGAGCTGTGTATGTATTTTTGTGAATGCATGCTTATAAAACCTTCACCCTATTAAACCAAGTCTATATACAAAGAAAATGGTGAAATTTTGAAGATATGAATAATTCTCCCAGTTTTAGTCATTATTTAAACTTTTTGTTTAAATTTTTATACAGATAAAACCCTATTATAAATCTACCCACAGAAATCCCCTTCCTGGGTTCTTTCTATGTCATATCTAAAATCTTTTAACAAAACAATAAAACTTCTTCCTATTAAGGAAGAGGATGTGTATTAATCCTAGGTAGCCAACAGGAGTTAGGATTATGGTGTTGTTAATGATATTGGAGAGATCGTGCAAAAATTTGACATACCTTTTAGTCAATAGTTTGCCATGGCCCATGTTTCCTGATAATGCATAATATGTCATGGTAACTACATGATATGCAAGTATAGTATGCCTGTATAGGACAGCAGTATTAAACATAAGTATAGCCATTGTCCACATGAGTTCCAATCTGTATGTATAACTCACCATTCCAAATCACAAGTAATGAGAATATGGTCATTAGAAATGGAAAGCCTACATATTAGGTATTTCCTGTCTTGGAGTCACTTCTCTTTTGATATTTGGTGAACATCTCCCAAGTTTTGGTTGAGCTTATTTTATGTAAAGTATATAAAATAAAATCACTTCCAATGTCAATAATTTTTATGGTACACCCGTGAAACTTGATAAGATGTTAGAAAAAGATGTCCCAATGGAAATATAGGACAAGACCAGGAATTTTAGGTAATATTTTATTTGTTGCAAATAAGGAAAGACATACAGAAAGATGTATAAACGGAACACTATATGTATTTAAAGAAAAAGGCACTCTTAAAATTAAATTACTTATTTTAATAATGTATAAATGCTCACTCAAATATGTAGATTGTCTTTGAACTTAAAGTGAGAAGCAGCCTTGTCCATTAATTTACACCAGTAATAGAGATGACATGATATAAACTCACATAATTCACAAAAAATACTTGTATATAACTTTATATTAAAAAAGTAAAGCAGTCCTGGCATAGGTGAAGTAGTTGGAAATAAGCAAGTGAGTGTATCTAATACCGGAATGGGAACACAATCAGCCCTTCCATTTAGCTACCTTAAATTTAGCTTTCTGGAAAGATGTTGTTATAAGTCATTAAGTGGAGGGAGGCTCTTCATGAGTACTGAATAGTCAACAGTGCACCTATCGGCACCAAAAGAAAGGAACCTATTGAGTTTATACTTTGTGATTTATAGGTATCTGCAGCAAGAGAGGGGGGGAGGAAGGGAGAAAAGGTGTAAGGGGAGAATCAGTAGAGGGAGAGAGAAGAAGAGGGAGGGAGAGAAGGAAAGGGAAAGGGAGAGGCAGGGAGAAGTATATCTGAAGTAATGCTAACTAGTGTTAAATTTTCAGCTCAGTTGAAAATTTCAGACAGAGAATTTGCATATACATAAGAGCATAGAAAAGAAACAATAGATTCACCATATCCTAAGACCAACTTTTCATACTCATGCAGTCAGACATTAATTCCACTTGGCTTCTCAGAATTGTGAGATCTAATCAGAAACACAAAGCAATAAATAGAGGAGTTACGCTGCAAATATTAAATCTTATCACACCACTAGGGTGGTAATCTAATGGTTAGTATCTATTAACATGAATTAACAAAATTTCATCAGTTAGCCCTAAACGTACCAGCCTAATATCTTGTTTACTTTCAAAATCTATGCTAAAATGCAATTTCCAACGTTAAATCAAAACATTTTTATTATTTATAACATACTAAGCTTGATTAAATGGCCACAGGTTGTGGTTTTAAGACACACTATCTTACGGTTTCCTAAAATATGATTTGTACTTTGTTACTGCAATATATTTTATGACTTCCTTTGATTTTATCTTTTGCTTTTGCTCTTAATTTCTCAAACACATATTTGCTCATCATAGTTTTGCCTGATCTGACTCAATCCAGTGTCCTCCTTTTTATGAGTTTGTAAAATTTTAATTTTTCTTTGATTAAGGTGAGGGTTTACTTAATATCATAGCTCTCTGTAAACTACTGAGGAAAAATAGGTCAGGAGTTAAAGGCAGGAATCAGGATAATGGACTGAGACAGATGGAGGAACTCTGCTTACTAGATTGTTCCTTACAGCTATCTCAGACTTTTTCTTTTCATTATGCCTTTTTTTGAGATTGTAACATAATCTATTATTATCCCTTCCCTTTCTTCCATCCAAAGAATATATTCCTTGATCAAGTAATCAGTGAATGTTCAGAAAGTGGTTTGTAAACTAGAATGATGCTGAAATTTAGTTTATGTAGTACATTCTTAATGAGCTCTAGTCATTCTTCATTTTCTTTCCCATCTTTACAAACTTTTGATAAATGAATAAGCAGGATTTTATAACAAGGAAAGCTATGGCTGCCACACAGGCCATTAGGAATCCAATCACATCCAGAGAGTAGTACTGGTACCAGGTGAGGTTGTATGCAAGTGGTCTCAGGTGCTTGGCCCCTTTGTGTCGCATGACAAACTCAATCCAGAAGATGGCTCTGTCCAGAGGCTTCATGGGCTGGTCATTGTGAATGGTTGATAACCACATAGCATTCTCTTTATAGCTGAAAGAAATAAAATGGGACATCAGCTTATATAATGAATGAAAGATGCACATGTGTAATTTTTGTGTAAATAGTAAAGTAAATTGCACAAACATAGAAGGAAAATTAATTATGCTTTACATTTATGATTAGGAAGATCTTCAGAGGTATATTTGAGCTCCTTGAGCATGCAAGAATAAGCATCTAAAAAGAAAATTGGAAGGTAAAATATTCCCAAAGTAGAGTTTGAAGACCAGCTAAGCCTTAAATACAAAATATCAAAAAGAGATATTTGAGTATATAAAACTTCAGTTATGCATAAGCAACTATTAATAAACTTTGTTTTCAAAGCATATAGTAGTGTCAGTATGTATAAGTCAAAAGAAAGTCCCTCTCAAGTCTCAATGGTGGTAAAGCTGATGAAGACTTGAAATGAAACTTCTATGGAGCACTATCAGTGAGTAGTGGCCCCATCTGTTAAAGAGACTCCCAAAACTTACAACTTATAGATGATGCTTATTCTCCAGGGATGGAACACAATTTCTATTGCTGAAAGGACATGAACTGAGAAACAGAGCCCAGGGATCTTTGAGCTGGAACTGATTTGAAAGCTCCTTACTTAAAACTAGCTTTCATTGTATAACATAGAAGAGAGGATTGAAAGATTTTAAAAGCCAGAGAGGGCCAAGATATTTGTGGTGAAGTTGCATCTTTGATAAGCTATAATCTCGAAGTGTCAGCAATATGGATGTCTAAACAAGATCTCAATAATGGTGTCACCAATAGTCATTCTCAACAACATTTGTCCCTAAACAAGATCTAAAAAAGGTTGACACCAATAGTCAGGCAAACGTGGAAAGAGGTCAATCTCACAATGTTTCCAACTCTATCCAAAATTATTATAGGCACTCAAGTAATGCTGAGAGTGGGAGAGAAATAGTCTTTTCCAGGAAAGAGCTTCCACATGGTATTTTTTTAAATTAAAGAAAAATAATGATGGGCATATTATCATATAATTTGCTTCACTCTAATATGTTTTCACTATTTGAAATATCCTAAAACAGATTGTATATTTAAATATTTAGCCATACACCTACTTTTATGTTAATATCTATGTTATTTCAATGCAGAAAGTTTCAACTTCCATACATATCTCTATAACTTTCAAGTTTCTCTGTATTAATGTTTTCCTATAGCTTCTAGGTATAATACATCTGGTACCACCCATAATGTTTCATTTTACTTCATTTATTGGCTATTTAAGTTTTGTATTATTCTTAAAACTCTGATCAGTTAGTTTACTAAAAGAATTTAAAAGAAAAATTGGTGACAGCTGGTGGCATGTGCCTGTTGACCAAGCAGTTTGGTGGTTGAAGTAGAAGGGTTACACATTTAGGACCTGTCATATTTACATAAGAAAGAAATATAAAGTATAACATGCAAATAAAACACAGGAACAAAAGAGAGAAAAACCTATGACAGTGAATCCTAATGGCGGAGTTCTGTTGTCCTTCTACATGCCCTAACCTGTCTTTGTACTTACCATTATTTTTGCCTTCAGGATAATTCTTGCTCCTTTGGCCTTCAGTAAGAAGCACAATGAATAAGAAATAAATGAATGATGATTTTTTAAAAGATTATACTCACAAAGGATTATCTATGACTGCCTCCAGTGCGCTGAGCAAATCTGACCTTGTCAGTGTTCTGAAATTTAATGCAACAGCTGCTCCTTTGGCCACCATGTAGGCAATGTTATCATGTTGTTCTCCAAACAAAGGAATGCCAATCATAGGGATTCCAAAATGAATTGCCTCATAGATGCCATTAGCTCCACCATGAGTTACAAAGGCTTTGGTTTTTGGATGACCTAGAATAAGATGAATTCAGATTAATATTAATTGGCAGCCCTTTTTTACCTTCATATTTTCTTTAAATTAGAAAAAAAGCTTGTTTTACATGTCAATCCCTCTCCTTCCCTCCCTTCCATGGCCCCTACTGACCCCCTATCCTATCCCCATTCTGCTCCCAAGGGAGAGTGAGGCCTTCCATGGACATCTTCAAAGACTGTCATATCATTTGGAGTAGGGCCTAGGCTCTCCCCTGTGTGTCTAGACTAAGAGATCCCTCCATGTGGAATGGGCTCCCAAATCCATTTGCATAATATGGATAAGTGCTGATCCACTGCCAGAGGTCCCATAACAGTCTTAGACATGAAATGAGAAATGTGTCCTATGAGGAACTGAAAGAACATTATTTTACATGAAGATTCTTTTGTTAATAATTGGATTTATTAATTTAGTTTGTATCATGACTGCAGGTTGCCTACGTGTCTCATGAAATGAAAACCTACATGAAGATTCTTATACTCATAACCTCAGTTTTATTTCTTTCCTTTCTTAGAGCACGAAGAAAGTAAATGTACAGGCAGATATCCTGCAGATTTACTTGTGACTTGAGTCTTAAATTATGAAATATTGATTTCCAGTTGAACACATGGAATACATGGTAGTTAAGGGAAAATGAATGTTAAAAAAGACAAAGTGCATATCAGAAATTATTATTTTAGATAAGCCATTCAGTAAGTGAAATAGAAAGGATTTTGAAGTCAACTAGAATAGGTTTGCTTTCCAGAGTCTTACCTAGAAGGTCATTCTGGGGGAGCCATTTGTAGACTCTGGTATTGGGTCCTAAGGTGTCTGGTGTTTTGCCATCGAATCTCCAAAGAACCTGTTAAAGGTTGTTTAGTCTTTATTGCTAGAGCCCAATTTAACATTATAAAAGCTGAACAGGTTATATTTAGGAATTTAAATGTAAATGAATTTGTATATAACAACATTAATGAAAAAATAGATGCTATGAATTTGAAAGGCAGAATGGATATGAGGGGACCTGGGGAGGAGCAGTGAAAGGAAAAGAGTGGCGCATTACTACTAATTTATATTTTACATAAATATATCTTGATAGCTCTATTAGTCAGTGTTAATATTATGTTCTAAATACTTTACAGTTTACTTTTATTTGCTTCTCCTATGCTATTCTTACTGAATTTTTTAACTTTTTGTCTTTATTTATTTATGAGAAACATTCCTGATCAATAATTCTCTGTGGTCTGGACTTCTTTGAAACAATGCCATAATGTTGGCCAATGAGAATATGGAGTCAGTTATTGGACACATATTAGGAGTAAACTTGTATAGTTTTGGAGCATGATCCTGGAATGGAGTCACATGAGGAGAATTCTGCGTATTTGAGAGAACACTCTAAGAAAACAGGTCAAAAGTCTTATGACCTCAATTTCTTCAAAATACATGATTTTTTGGAATGTATTTTCATCTTCTTTCCAGGTATACCAGATAGGGGCTTTTATATTCTAGTTTAACCATTGCAGCTTGCTGTTTTTATCCAGATAATGTTTAAACTGTCCTTTGTGTGCCTCTGTGGTAGTTGGAAAAAAATGGCCTCCTAAGAGCATGGCACTATTAGGAGGTGTGGCCATGTTGGAGGAATTGTATCTCTGTGGGTGCAGGCTTGAGGTGTCTTCTGCTCAAGCTTCCCTCTGTGTGCCTTTCAGAAGACTTCCTGTTGCCTGCAACTGTCAGCTCCCACATCACATTTGCCTGAATGCTGCCACATTCATCTTCATGATGGTAATGGACTAAATATCTTGAAACTGTAAGTGAGCCACCAAAAATAAATGTTGTCTTTATAAGAGGCACCTTGTGATGATCTGTCTTCGCAGCAATAAAAACCTAACTCAGACAACCTCTACGCAAAAACATTTTTTGTTTGCTTTTTTTCTTTTTGTTTTTCACACGTGGCTTGTCCTTGTGATTGTATATGGCTCCAATTCATGTGATTTTTACTCATATGTCCCTTCTTAACCCTCAGAGTATACATTCCTGGTTCTATGATGAAGCTGGCTATCACATGAGACTTTAGTTTGCCTCATTTATTGGCTCTATTCTCCTAAGGCTCACTTTCTCTGGAGATGTGACAAATTGTTCCTGCACAAAGAGATGGAGTTGGCTACACAATAGGAGAGTGGGAAACCTCATAGAAGGAGATGATGGAGAATATTGGGGCTGAAACTAGGGAAGACTTTGAGTTGTGTCAAGGCTTGTGTATCCTTTTATGTTTAAAAAAAAGGAGGAAAAGTATCAAAATTACAACTGTATAGAAATAGCCTGTGATCATAATCCCTATTTTCCAGAAGAAGGCACCTCAGATAATGTATGGGACAGAGTCTGAATGAATATTGAAAAGGCATAAGGAGAGGAGACCCCATTAAGTTTTGGGTCACTTGTACATTGAGTTGGACTATTAATAACATATGTAAAGAAGATAAAAAGAGTATTAATAAGATTATTAATCATGAAGAAGACATGTCTAATTCTTTGCATGAATATAAACTAGATGATTATATCTTTAAATGGGTAAAATAAGCAAAAAATGAGGAAGAGATGACTTTTCTAATGTAGGTAAATCAAAAGTAAAAACAGCACCCTGCACAACTATGCAGCTGATAGCTCTCCCAGCTCCCTCACTGGAAATTTCTTTAAATATGTTTCCTTTATTGCCTAAAGACAATTCTGAAGCATGGTGTGAAGAATCTGATAATAAATCTAAACTTGTGTTCCTCCTGAACTAAGCTTACTATTTCCAGTGAAATTTCAATAAAATCAAAATATTTATCATGGACTAGACAGGGATACGATTAAAGATTTTAAGAGGATTTGCTCTTCATGTGGACCTACTGCTCCCTGTAGTTACTAATATCTTTTTACTGGAACAATAATGTACAATACTTTCTATATGATTGTCATATAATTGTTAAAATTATTCTTAGCTCTTTCCAATTCCTTAAGTGTCAGCTCTCACTGATAAAGTCCATAAAAAGTCTACAGCTAAGACTGAGTGGTAATTCTAGAAATGTCACATATGAAATGCTGACAAGAACTGGTAGAAGGTTATCACAGTTTCTCAGCTGCACAATTTGCTTGCTGCCACACATTAGGAATGTAGCTATCTTATTACTGCCTGAATGAAAATTGATATGGAGGATGACTTTGGGTCAAATTACATAAAAATATACAAAATTACCTTGAAACTTATGCTAATTTCATAGGGAGACTCAAAGATGCTATTAAATAATAAGTAAAGGGAGGACAAACTCATGAGTTATTAAACCAGTTAGATTTTGACAATGCCAGTCAAGTTTACCATGGATTAATTAATCGTCAAAGTGAGACAGAAAATGTTATGGACTTTCCAAAGGTATGTAGAAATGTGGAGATCTATAAACATAGAGCAAAATTAGCTGCTATAGAAATCTATGCTGTACAAAAACAGATGTTAGCAAAGTGGCCACTTGAAAAAACAATGTAAATTTTCCTTGCAATGATTGAATGCTCAGTATCAATGAGCTCCTGACTGATGACCTATATGCAAGAAAGGAAAACATTGAGTTAAGAAATTCTGGTCTAAATATGATAAGGATTTTATTACGTAGCCTGGCAACACTAACAGTGCCAGTCAAAAAAAATGAGGGTTCCCCTAAAGGGCCCACAAAATTAAAGGCTTTAAATCTAAAGCAATAACATTTATGCCAGCTTCAGTTTGTAATCAATCTGTTCTTTTGTTACAAGCTGTTACTCAAGGAAGTACTGCTATTGATAGTACTTGTTCTAAAGTATTGCTGTTTCCTCCCTTCAGTATCCTTTTAAGATACACACAGGATACTGGAGACCTATATTACCTCAAACTGGTGAACTTCCATTGACATGCAGTAGTTTATACATGAAAGGAATAATAGATCATACAGGAGTCTTTGATGATTATTATACAGGAGCAATTGCAGTCATGATCACAGTACCTACTAATTGGCCATTTAAAGTGAGAGGAAAAGACTGCAGTTATTATTATTGTCTATATAATCCATTCATGAAGACATGTGCTTCATAAGGAAGGCTTCAGTAGTACAAATAAAACTGTGGCCTTAAGCCCCCCTACTAAAGAAAAATGATAAACCATTATTGGATTTAAAATAAGAAAAAATGTTTATAGGGTCAGTTGGTTATGGAACTGATATTTATATTATAACCATGGAAGAATTGCCACCTGAATGGTCTGTTATGGGAGTAAATTCAACACTGACAGGGTGTGGAGATATGAGCTCTAACAAGATGAAACAGAATGCTACAGAATTTCAATGTATGAGCCCAGAAGGCATAATGGAAGTCCTATAGCCTTATGTTACTCATGTTATGATTAATATTTGGGGAAGAGATTTTCAAATACAAGCTCATGAAGAAATCTATATTCCCACTCTAATGCTACCCATTCTTCACAATTATGATGATTTCTAATGGTAAGATTGGGTTATCAAAATGAAAAGGACTAGAAAAAGAATTACAAAGATGAGCAGGGTTTGGGATTTTCATAGGAGCTAAAAATTCCCTAAAAATCCAGCAACCTTGCTTGGATCCCTCAATAGCATACTTCTAAAGAAAGGTATGGAGTCTTTATAAGGTTGTCAGAAAACAGTGCAGAATGAGCACATAGATCCCTCTTTCTTCTCCCTGGAATCCTCCTGGTTTCATCATTAAAAAGAATCTGGCAAATGGAGATTGTCGATTGATTTATTAAATGTTATTGCCACTATGTGGCCAATGGGAGCTTTACAGCCTTTTTACATATTGGCATTTAATAGTTCTGCGTTTACAAAAGTTTGATTTTATACTATACCTATTCATGCAGATAACAAGCTAATTTTTGGCTTTTCTGTTCTTTCATCCAATCATAAAAAATTGCAGCTCTGATATCAGTGGACTGTGTATCCTCAAGGCATGACAAAACTCCTTATTGTGTATCAGTACAATGCAGGAAAGGTTTTAGAGCACATGAGGGAGGCCTACCCTGGGGCTTACATGTGTTAAGTTTCAAACCAACAACAAATGGCTAAGGTGCCTATTTAACTATTCAAAGCCCTGTGTCCCTCAGTTCCTACCTGTTACAGGGCTCTCCTGACTCTCAAACCCTGCACCCTGTCTTGAACTCTCTGGCCCAGGGGGCTGAGCTGCACTTCCTGATATAATGCAACCATTTTTGTTACCCATTCTTTTTTGTATATTTGGCCTCCTGGCTGCTTCACCTGGTCCTCTCTCGTCTCTTCCTTCTCCTCACAAGACATAGCTCCGTCTGGTCATGACCTCTCTCTCTCTCTCTCTCTCTCTCTCTCTCTCTCTCTCTCTCTCTCTCTCTCTCTCTCTCTCTCTCTCTCTCTCTCTCTCTCGGTTTTTACGAGACAGGGTTTCTCTGTATTGTTTTGGAGGCTGTCGGTCCAGCCTGGCCTCGAACTCACAGAGATCTGCCTGCCTCTGCCTCCGAGTGCTGGGATTAAAGGCGTGCGTCACCAACGCCCACTCATGACCTCTCTTGACTTTCCCAGATGTTCTTGTCCCTGCTTCTTGCTATACTCTCTCATATATGTATAATACACTTTTTCCTCCACCACGCATAAGAGCTATCATGTCCTTCCTTTTCTCTTTATTTCTTTTTTTCATTCAATATTATTTGTTATATAGATGACATCCTGTTAGCCACCCCAAAAGAGAGTTACAATCCATATATGACACGACTCAGGATATGTTACATAAAAATAGGCTTATTACTACACACCACAAAGTACAATGATCAGACACTGTGTAATATCTTGGGCAACTAGTTACTGGAATAACTACTAAGTGCAAACCTTTCTTACCGCGCAAATGTCCATTAGACAATTTTAAAACACCCAATGACTTTCAAAAATTAATAGGAACTATAAATTATCTACATACCAATTTGGGAAAACCTAATTATGCCCTAACTAATCTAACTAATCTACTTAAAACTCTGATAGGATAGACAGCATTGGATAGCCCTTAATTTATCTTAAAATGAAAAGAAAGAAACTAAAAAAAGGTGTTTGTGTATTGGGCGAATCCTTTAAACTTATTTATTTTCACCACTAAATTGTCTCCTACAGTTTTGTAGCACAAAACGATAAATCTTTTGAGTGGATTTATTTACAGCAAAAGGACCCTAAAATACTAACTGCTTACCTTACTCTTCTTGCTCAGCTAGTAAATCAGGGGAGGACCTAATATCAACAATGATATGGATTTAATCCTTGCTGTATTATATTACCTCTAGTTTAAAAGAGAGTTTCAGTACTCTATGGATTTTTAAATTTCATTTATACATTACTATGGAAGGACAGGAAACTTTTATTTTCATCATTACATCCTTTAATTTCTTGCAGTGTTTTTACCCTCTGATGACATGTAGCAGAAGGAGTGTGTGTCTACTTCTAGTTAACCACTATTGCTTGCTATTGTTATCAAAAAATGTTTAAAGTGTCCTTTGCATGCCTCTGTAGAAAGAATATTTTTGCCACACACATAGGTTGTCGTTATGATGGCATATAGCTTGAATGACCTTTACTCATGAAGTTTGTTAACCCTCAGAGTGTAAGTTGTCTGGTTCTCTGTATAAAGCTGAATATTGCATGAAATTTTAATCTGCCTCATTTATCAGCTCTGTTCTCCCAATAGCCACTGCCACCAAACCTGTGACAGTGTGGGTTTCAAAACAAGAGAGTAAACCTGCTGTATCCATTTCACCCCAAAAGACATAAGTTCTTTGTAGATCAATGCTGTGGACAAACAGGCTCAGAACATGCCTGCATTATCTGTACATTGGAATTCCATCTGCTGTCCCTGGTGACTATGATAACACTGAGTAAAACTAATGTAATATACTCTTATCATACTCACTTCCTACCCCAATCTTTCCTAAATCACCCCCTTCCTTTACCATTCAACTCGGCCTTTTAAAAAAGAATATTTGAAGAACAGTTTATATACTCCAAATATTCTTGGATATGTGGTTTGCCAGGAGAGACTGATTAGCTTACAAGGAGTACAATCTTCACCTCTCACAGCTAATAATTGTCAGTAGTTCCTTAGCTTTGTGTGGGATTGTGTATCCTCCACCCATCTCCCTGCTTATATTTTGTTTGTTTTTGTTTGCACAAGTTTTGTTCACACTAATTTTTTATTCACATTAATTCAAACATATGCAATCATTGTCTTTTTTGAGAAAATAATGAAGATATACAGATCTCTAGTCACTAAGGGCAGGCAATATTGTATGTAGAATTTTGAATGCTAATCACATTGAAATAGTTTCCAGATCCTCAAATTTCTTCCTCCCGTTCTGTCTAGTTGTCTCTGTCATTCCTTGGTTGTTCTCCATGTGTTGGAGGATATATGAACCAATTCATGTGTGTGAATGCATGTTTAAATACTTCAAGGTGATTGTGTAGAATGGTGAGGACTACAGATATTTATTGTGATGTTTCTCTACTTCGAGAAGAGTTTCATATTTGTTTGTTTCAATTTTTCTGCTCCTGGCCCACATGAATTCTCCTATTTCTGACTTCCATTTCTGATATTTCTGATGGGAGTGCTGGCATTACAGACACATACAATACCATGCCAGATTTGATTTGGGTTTGGAGGATTCAAACTGAGGTAATAACACTGCACTGAAAATGTTTAACATACTGAGCCATTTCTCTAGTTTGGAAATTCATTTATTGTGACAAATAGATATTCACATGTAGTAAATGCTCCTTTTTATGAGGTTTGTCAGGGAGTTCTAAAATTATTACCATATCTGGGGGCTGAATTGGAACTGATTTGATGAGTATATTAATCCCTGAAGAATTATTTGCAGTCTATTGCAAATAATTTGCTATCCACAAGTAGTTTTTGAAAAATTTACCCAGATCTAATGACATTACTTCATGTCCTACTGATTGGTATATACTCCTTATTACAAACTGCCAAGATTTTACTGCAGAGGTCAGAATGATCTAAGACAAAAAACCAGGTCCAAGACGAGGCCTATGGTCGGTGCTAATGTTAGAATTCTGAGACATATCTCATTAAATGAACCATTAACCACATGGCTAACATGAATTTGCTTAATGATTGACAAAATTAGCTATAGGATCAGAAAATTAAAGGAGGTAAATAAGGAGACACTGTTCCACTATGAAATTTACAAATGTTCACAAACATTCTAATCTAATCCATAGAAAATTACTTTGTAATATGCTGATGCAGTCACCTGAAACATTTGGTTTAGTCACTTTCAACCTTAGGTTCCTTTGGACTCTTTCTTATTTTCACATTTCTTCCTTGAGTAGTAGGACTTTCACTCTGACTGGTTCCAAGCAAGCCCTGTGTATCCTCATTCATGAGGCACAGACATCACGGTCAGGGAATCACCCATCTCTGTATTTCCCTTATACATTTCTTATACAAGCATTGGCAAGACAGTCCAGAACATAGTTTTTTCTTTTAATTCTCTTTCTCTCAATCAGCCAAAGTGTACGCTGATTAAGAGTCGTGAACCTTGGACTCTCTTCCTTTAAATGGCCCTCTCACTGCACACTGTAAAGGCCTACTCCAAAATTAGGATGCAGAGTCATGCTACATTTCAAACATTTTCAATACCTGCTTACTGGTATTCTGCTAGAAATATTAAATAACCCCCTGAAAAGAATCCAACGTATGCAGTGACTTTAAATATTCAACTAATAAACAAAGTGACACTGAAGGATTTGGCTATGTCTGTATACATGATAGTAATGTAATCATCATGTTAGCATTTAAGAATGTGTGCACAGTGGTCACACTGTTTATATTGAAGTCACTATCAGTCAAAAACACCTTCTGTACTATTTTAGCATCTTTTGTGAATGTTTACAAATTTGCTAAGACTAATTTGAGCTTACTTAAATCTTTGCCTTTCACACAGTCATTTTTTTAAAACTTTGATAAAGTAGAATTAATTTTTTGTTATTCATGAAGTACAAATGTGTGCAGGTTTATTCCTTAATTTTGTTCTAAGAGCTTTATTTTATTTTAGTTCCTAAATTGCAGTCTACGGTCCATGTAGAACTCTTTTTCAGATATGGTATGAAGTTGATGGCTAATTTTGTTTTGTTACATGTGATCATCATAGAAGTATTATTGATAAAAATGCCACATACTCCCTGATCAAACTGTCTTGTAACAATTGCTAAAATTAAGTTAATCATAAATATAGGGATCAATTCTTAGAATTTTATTCCAATCATGTATATGTGTATCTGTGTGATTATCAAGTTGTTATTGCAGCACATTTTGTAATTGATAAATGTGAATCCTCTTAAGATTATTGTGATATTCAAGATGTTTTACATTTTATAATGGTATAAGCTAAGTATGTCCTTTTCTGAAACATAGTATTGATACACTAACTGAATTACAAATTGATTTGGGAAGTAATGCTACTCAAAAGAGTCCTGTCTTCCAGCATGAGGAAATCACCTGCCACACAGTCATTTCTATAATTAGCCCTTTCAAACACTTTCACAGGCTTAGTGTACAGTCACCTCCCATGGAGCACTTTATCTCACCTTTTGTGGAATCTGGGCAAGGGCCCATGCAATTGTGTTGGCCTTTGCTTCTGTCATGTTGCTGACCATTGACCCCAGAGAAAACACCACAACACCATGCTCTCCAGAACTCTGGACAAAGTCTTCCATTTCCTGAAATGAGAATTTGCTTCATGACAAAATACCAATTGTTGAAAAATTACTTATGATATGTTTATGAAAAAATTGGGAGAAAAGAAATTAAAGTATTCCTAGGAATTTTTAGAACTGTGGTATTAAAGCATTCAGAAGTCAAAAATGGCAATGTCAAAGACTTTGAACTTCACAGGCATCACTACACAGTGCACTCACACATTGTACAACAAACATTCTAAATATTTCCCCCCGGTAAAATTAAAACTCAGGAGTGCAAACATATTATATGAAATATCCATAAAATTGTAGCCTCTTTTACATGTTTTCATCCTACAGCAAAAATGATAATTTTTCCCTTGCTATTTTATTTTTCTCCTGATATGACTGATTTAATATTACTAACTAGTGTTTGATGAAATAATATCTATATTGTAGTGTGTACATATGTAGTAGTTAAGACATACTTCCTACTCTGATTAATAAAATGCTTTGGTTCTTTGTGAAATAACCATAACTGCATGGCAAACATATACCATACAATAATTTTCTGATATTGTGTATAAGTAGGTTATTTTTAGAGATGACCTTCACAATTTACTGATTGGAGAGAAACTAAATGAGTGTTGTTCCTCTGGATATCAAACAATTACTTCAGACACATGTTAGTACTAACTTTTGATGATTGATAGTTTCTGAAGTGATGAGTTTAACTGACTTAATTTCTTTGTCTTTTGTGCATGTGTGTATGTATATATGTGCTTGCATGTGTGCAGGTGTGTGTTTGTGTATGCATGTGTGAACATGTGCACGTGTGCTTATGTAAGTGTGTTTATTTGCATGTTTGTGCATGTGCATTTACATGTATGCGTGTGTGTGTTTATGTGATGTGTGTGCATGCATGTGAGTGTCTGTGTTTGTGTTGTTTTTTTGTGTGTGTTACTGTGTGTCTGTGTGTTTGTACTGGGGTCCTGGGGAGGTTCTCTACTTTTGTGTTAGCACGTGGATGCTGAAAGTTAAAATCTGATGCTTTCCTCCATCAATCTTCAACATAGTTTTTGAGACTCTCACACTGAATACAAAGCTTGACATTTTTTAAAAGATTAGTGGCCAGCAGCCTTCCACTATCAACCTTTTTCTGCATCCTCAGTACTAATGTCATAGTACTATCTTGGGACACTCAATTTTTTACATGTTTGTTGGGATTAAAATTTGCATCCTCATAGTTGCTCAGAAGGAACTTTACCCAATGACTAACCATACAAATACACTGAATTTAACTTACTGATATGAATATTTCCCAGGTCTATCCCATTCATTCTTGAATTTATTGATCCCCTAGTTAGCAGGATGCTGAATCCCACTCGACTATATCTCTATCACTGATAGCAAATGAAATGAAAGACATATAATCAATTTTACCAGAGATTAAATTAAATGGAAAAGAGATCTAAAAATGTATTTACCTTAGGCAAGGGTTTAGCAGGTTTGCAGTGGAGTCCTCCTACATAGTCAACGTTTGGTAAGGTTGGGTGAGGAAACTCCAAATCCCAATAGGAGCGAATGAGCCACATTTGTGTTTTGCCTACTGTCTCAGCTAAGGTAGTGTGCCTTCCTAGATGGAGAAAATGAGCAAATGTGAAACCAAAAAGTTGACAGGATTGTCTTCTGACTATAAAATATATATTTTCTTTAAAATTATGGAGACAATTTGTTTAATGTAGAACATGCACATTTAAAACCCTATGTTAATTGATATGTAATATAATTTGCATGTGCGATTGAATTGTGGCTCACATAATATACATAAATGTCAGCTTGAGTTTATGTTTATAGTAAATGGTAAGAATTACCTCATGTTTCCTCAGTAATTTGAGATAATGAATAGTTATTGGAATGACCCACTAATTCACTATATGAATGAGGACACATTTTACTCCTTTAAAAATCTACAAAAAGAACAGTGCAAATATAAATATACATTTCACTTTCAAAAGTCACACTATGCTGTGTAGCCTGGCCAGACTTCCCCAGTATCATTGTAGATTGTGGCTACTCCTTCTTCATTGTTTGTTAAAGGAGATGTATAATTTAGGAATGGCTGAATTTCTGGTTAGTGCTTCTATATTTGCTTCATATTAAGATATCTGATAGCACTTATTCTATAAAAACTATAACAACATTTTCCGAAATTATGATAATAGAAATTTTTGTTCAGTATTAACTATGGCATATTTTTGAATGCAAAAAAACATGACTTCAAAAAGAATAGACTGAGTGCATGCTTCTGTGCTTAAACACTGACTGCTACGATAGTAAACAATAAAGAATTATTGTGTTAGTAGCAATATGTGAACTAACATAGTATCTTTCAAGCATAAGGGAATTCTTTAGGAAATACAGAGGAAATGTTTTATGATTTATCTTTTTGTTTATGTGTGTGTCTCTGTGAGTATATTCTAAGTTTACTCTGGTGCTTACAGAGACCATAAAAGGGCAGCAGGCCCCCTGAAGCTAAAAATACAGGAAAATTTGAGCCACTGTACATGGGACGGTGGTACTAACACAACACAGGTACTCCACATGAACAGAAAACACTCTTAACCCATTAAACATGTTTTTAGACACCACATTTTAATTTTAAGTAAAGAAGATGGCCTATGCAAGAGAAAACAATTTCTTCAATGTTATATGCATGTTAGAATTGTAAAATATGTCATTCTTCAGTCTACATTAACCTAGATTTGATTAAAGAAATACTAATTTCTTTAAATCTATGATAAATACAGTAGAATGAGTAAAGAATCACTTAGGGACTATCTTCTTGCCTCTCTATGCAACTGTATACCTTACTAGAATGTCCTGCATCAGAACTGCTCTGCTTCTTTTGATTAATAGTATGAGCTTTTACAGCATTTGTGAGTTTGTTAGCTAATATTATATTACATTAGTTCACCTATAAAAGAAAAATCTCACTTTGTATTTCTTGGATGCAAGAATAGATTTAGTGACATTTTAGTCACTGTGTTATAGATAAGAAACATAACTTACCCAAAGTTTCACTGTAAAACTGACCCCATTTCTTCTCATTAAATGTCTGGAACCAAAAGTCAAAATAAAGCATACATATCATATTTCTTACTCTCTCCATGAATGTCATTTGGCCTCCTAATCCTGACAAAATTATAGGTACATAAGAGGGAGGGACTATAAATCCTCCACTGTTCTTTTCCATTGTATATCCAGGAGTAAAGCGAAGAGTGTACAGAAAAGGGATCTGGAGCAGTTCAGCTATCAGCTCCCCACAGGGAGCAATGGCATCTGAGACAAGGACATCAAACTTGGATTTCTGTAGTTTTGTCATCAGTTGTTTGTTTGAAACTGTGTCTTTACAAAGACTTAGATAACTGTCAGAATATTCCTCAACCAAATTTTCTAGCAAAGGTGAGTACGATAAACATGTATCTCTTGGTATCTCATAAGTCCATACATTCACAAACCTTATGTAAATCTTATCCAGATCATCTTTACTGAGAGATGTAGGATAATTCTCAAACTTCAGGTCAGGTGACTTTTGGGGATCAAGAAAGATGGAGGCTGAAGGTCTTAGAACTGTCACTTCATGACCCCTCTGTGTAAGTTCATCCAGTATTATCTTTAGATTCAGCCAGTGACTGTATTCCATTGGCCACACCAAAACCTTCCCACAATTTCCAGATCTGAAGCAGCAAGACAGCTGCAATAGGAGCAGCAGAAGAGACATCCATTTTGCATGCATCCTGGAAAATCAAAGTCCTCTGTTCACAGTGTGTTCCCTTCTGTGGTTGCTAATCATTATATCTATGAAGAAAAAAGCCATGAGTTAAAATATAACCTGAGTTGGTCAATGCAAATATACTAAATGACCCCATTGAGCTTATGAGCTAAATGGAGATAGTAAAGCAAATACTAATTATTTCATATTTGCTTAAATGTGTTTAATGTCACATATTTTGCAATGAAGCAAACTTAGGAGTCAATGACTTTTTTGCATAGCTCTTCTGTTTCTAAGATATTTGAATAGCAGCAAGAACACTGGCTAATGAGAGGTTAGTCTGAAATTTCCTCTGAACACAGAAACTAAAATGTAGTAATTGCACAGATTATAAGTATTTCATGGTTATCATTTTCAAGAATTTTTGTAAGAATGTTGATTAATATATTCACTTACACGTGATTTCTAGCACAGCTTGACAGTGTGCCTCACTTACTTGATTGAAAGAAGATCTGGAAAGCAGATAGACAAGAGCCTGCTCCTATGCATGTCCCTAGGAAAACAGCTAAACACACCAACCTGAATAATATCATCAGTTATAGCAGCCAGTTGAATCAACTAATCTGTCCACTGGCCTTTCATAAGCACCATAAGGAATAGTTGAATAGCTTGTTATCATAATCTTAGTCCCCAAAGGCTCAGAGAAATAGGTGAGTACATGCATCTATGTTTCCTCCTTTAATGGAAACACCATGACCACTATTCCTGAGATTGCCCATGCAGGTCTTGCATATGGACATGCAATCTGTCTATGTATTCTTGTGTGCCCTGAAATTCTGCTTAAGTGATAAATTATCAAAGCATTCTAAGAGGCATCATCTGGAGAAATTCTTTGATTTTAAAAGCCAATGTCTCATTACACCGACCAAATCCTTTACCAAAACCAAACTGTAGTATTAAGGATGTATTTTTCACATTATTTGAAGGTGTAGTATCCATCAGTGGTATCAAGGTCTATAGTGTTTTATGTGATGGGAACACATTGCAAGGACAACCCCACATCATGGAGAACTGAGATGTTAATTATTTCTGTAAATGCCCTTATAGATATACCCAAATATTTCATTCAATTATGCTTTTACAAGGTAGCATAGCAATGAGAAAACCATCAACTCACAAAAATTAATAATAAAAATGAAAAAAGGAATATCAGATACTCAAAAAAGAAATAGAATTAATGAAAGAACAGTATGATTTATTTAATTATAAATAACAGGCTTGGTTGTTAACTCTAAATGGGGTTCTTAATTGGTCTAAGAAATAAAGACCTGGAGTCAGACATAAAGGAAAACACTGAGAGATCAGAAATAAGGAGCAAACCACCACCACACCTTACCTCTTCAGTGTTCAGCAGACAAAAAGTGAGTTCCTGTTTCTCCCTGCTTATATCCTGTTTCTGACCAGTTACCTCATTGCCTGTCTATCTGTACAGACCTCCAGGCCTCTGCAGTTATCTAGTGGCATTCTCTGACCCTCAAGATGGGCTTATTTGTAAAAGATGGGTATCATCATATATCCCCCTTTTTGATGAAAAAATATTAGTGAAAGCTTATAACTAACATAAGGACTATATACAATAAGTACAGTAAGTATATACAATATATACAGACAGTAAGTACATTAATAATATGTAGTTAATTAGCATTAGTCAATTCAGAGAAAATACTCCATGATCTATTCTTTCTTGATGAGTTCAAAGTCTTGTACCTAATTTACTTTCTATTCTAATTTGCAATATCAAATATTATTGTCTTTCAAAACTATTACACTTAGGACATCTTTAACAAGTTTCCTTACTGAGTCTGGTAAACAGGGAAAACTATAACAATACTATCTACTCTTCAACTCTCTCAGAGTCCCGAGAGGAAATAATATTAACAGAGTAAATAGAAAGTGTGAACAAGAAATATGAGAAATGACAGAAACAGCTGGATGTCTGGACAGTCCCCCAGGACTGCTCTGCAGAATGGGGCATCCATCTTCAGCATATAGGCCTAACATATCTGACAGACATTTCTGTGAACCAGGATAATCTGACAGACCAGATCTCCTTGTCTTGGCAAGGTTTGCAGTCACTCTTTTTGATATCCTGTTTGTTCAATTTGGACAGCATATTGTAAGCAGTTGAGGCAAGGCCACTTTCTTGCTCCATGGCTTACCTTTGCCACAAAGAAAGTAAACTCCAAGTGGAGTTTCTTCAATGCCCACCATCTTCTCTGACAGATTCATGCTGCCAGAAGCAGACATGTTTCATTGTCATAAAAAACCTTAAGTTATTAACACATGTTAAATGCCATACTTTGTAGATCTCTGAAGTGTTTGAAGATGTTCTGTCTTAATAAAATATCTGACCTTGTAAGCACACCCAATATGAATACACGTTTGATTGTAACAGTTGACTAATTGCTACTCATATTTTCATTACTTATTCTGTAGAGTTTTACCACAAATGTCCTTTTAGAGTACCCACTTGTATAAGTATGTATTGTTTCCTGTTCTAAGACTTCCAAAGAACTGTCAGATGTCAAATTATATTATATTAAAATTCTGTAGAGATTCAGAGTTCATGAAATTTATGAAGAAATATAGATATTGACGTAACGACAACTAATTAAATATGAAACATTTACAACTTCACCACCTATATCAACTACAGCACTTTTTTAGACATTCTGAAGTAATTTCCTTCACTGTCCATCTCTATTCTAAGGAGATTAAATAAGCAGATCCTGGTTGGACAAGCTGCTCTTCACCATTTTGTGAAACCTTTCAGATTTCTAGCCTATTCTCTTCTTTAATTGTCAGTTCCTAATACGCAGAAGTATATTTTACTTGGAAGCCCATAGATGACCAAACTGATCATATTCACAGAAAATTTCCTACCAGATAGCACACAGTCATCACATTCTCCTAAAATTCAGAAAAGACACAGAAAACATGGAACAAAACATGCACTAAACAAAGGCAAAACCAGAATTCAGCACCTAGACCTTATATCCCAGATGATTAGATACAAGCATAAAAACACAATAAATAAAAACAAGGGCAACGTGTCTCCACTAGAGCCCAGTAATTCTAGCACACAAGGCTCTGAAAATTTTAACATAACTGGAACAGAAGTAAAAGACCTTAAAATAGTCTGTATTAATATATTACGTGTACTTAAAGAGGAATAAATCCCTTAAAGAAATCAAGGAAAACACAGTGAAAGTACATAAATAAACTATTTAAGACCTGAAAATGGAAAGAGAATCAATAAAGAAAACCCAAACTGAGGAAATAAACATTTAGGAATTTCAACAAACACTGCAGAGGCAAAGTTCACCAAGATAAAAGTGATGCAAGAGAGAATCTCAGGTACTGAAGACACAATAGATGAAATGGAGGATTCGTCAGTGAAAGACAATGATAAATGTAAAACAATCCTGAAATAAAACATTCAAGAAATCTGGGACACATTGAAAATACCAAATACAAGAATAATAGCAAGGGAGGAAGATTAAGAAATGCAGCTCAGAGGCCAGAAATTTTTTCAACAAAAATTTAGAAGAATATTTTCCTAACCTAAAAATGGGAAAATCTGTCAAAGTACAGAGAATACACAGAACACCAAATATTGGATCAGATAGTAAACAAACTTTAAATGTACAGAACAAAGAAAGATTAATAAAAGCTGCAAAAGAAAAAAAACCAAGTAACATATAAAGCATATCTGTTAGAATCACACCTGCCTACTCAATGGAGACTCTGAAATCCAGAAAGTCTCTAAGAGAACTTAGATTACAGTCCAGACTCATATATCCACCAAAATTTCAATAATGTAACAACAGACACAACATAAGAGCAGTCACTGAGAAAATCCAATGAATATTAAGGAAATACTTCTAAAAACAACTGGAAGGGGTACAGGGAGGACAAGCTGTGCTTGTGAAAATAAATAAATAGACACTTGCCCCACTCATACCAAAAATACCCAAACAAAAACAGGCCATCAAACAACCAAGCAAATCAACAAAGAAACAAAACACCCTATTCTTCACCATATAGGAAAATCTGAAAGTAATGGATAATTTTCTTGATAGGGATTGTTTACCAAACTTACATCATGAGTAGATAAGCAATTTAAATAGACCTACCATCCCCATTGAAATTTAAACTGTCATTAAACATCTCCTAGCCAAACAAATAATCAAATTTGCATGCAAATGGAGGGAACTAGAAAAATCATCCCGAGTTAGAGCTCAAAGAACTCCAAGGGAGAGAAGGAGGAAAGTGTATAAGAGCCGGAGAAGATGGAAGTTACCAAGAGAACAAGGTACTCTGAGTCAATTCAGCAAGGTTCATATGAACACATAGAGACTGAAGCTGCAAGTTGCAAGTACAGGGTCAACACTGAGCTGCACCACTTCCTGTATGTATGTATGTATGTATGTATGTATGTATGTATGTATGTATATATATATATATTCAGATTAGTATTTCTATAGAACTTGTGGTTATGTGAACAAGTAGGTCTTTGATTCTTGTGCCTGTAGACTGAGTTAGAGACAGAGATGCAGTCCTAAATGTGTAAAATGATTCTAGTACATGTTTCTCAGGTTCATTGCTATAAAGGAGTGAGACGATCGATATGGATGCCACCCTTTGCCACTTCTGCAAACTTATACACATCATAAAGAAAAATCAACAATGAACAACAAACTTAGCCAACTCTATAAAGAACAAATGATATCGACTGGTTTTTAGCATACTAGAGTATTCCATGATTGTATTATTAAAAAAGTGCATTTAAAAAAATCTAAATGATTCATGGACTTTAAAAAGAGAAGTATAAATGTAGTTATTCACACACTACAGTGGTTTTCTGCTTTTAAGAAGGACCAGAAAGAACAAAGCATAATAGAACTTTGGCTTCTTTTTTTTTTTTTTTTTTTGGTATTTCGGGACAGGGCTTCTCTGTATTTTTTGGAGCCTGTCCTGGAACATGCTCCGTAGACAAGGCTTGGTCTTGAATTCACAGAGATCCACTTGCCTCTGCCTCCTGAGTGCTGAGATTAAAGGCATGCATCACCACCGCCCAGTGAACTTTGGTTCTTATAGCTTATAACAATGCAGGGAAAAAAACAAGTCTCTGTGTACACTCACAAACTATTGCTTTGGTGTCCAAGTGTCGGTTGCCTGCACTATGGTATTTAATTTTCTAAATATAAGTCACATAAAATCTTTCAGATATTCAAGTAGAAAATCTCTACTTAATGATCTGAATAACCATCTTCCTAAGTATATGTTGCCTTTATGTACTTTTGTTTGCATTTTGCACTTATATTCTGTGGTATTTTTTCCATTGGATCTGTTTTGTTGAAGTTAGAATGACCTTGGGTTTTCCTCAAGCTGCTGAATCATGATGACACTACTCATATAGTCACACTCTGAGAAATGAGGTCAATTAAGGTTTGCTAAAAGGGTAATAATTAACCAGAGATATTTGGTTAGATAAGGTGAGACCTGGGAATGATTAATTAATAACAGTGAGCCCTGTCTGAAATACTGACCTGGATACATGTGCTACAGACTCTAAGATATCAGAGATGATATCCCAGAGCATTTTACCCACCAAAGCTCTCAATAATATAACAACAGACACTGAGGAAATCCAGAGAACATTAGGACATACTTTAAAAGCCAAGTGGAAGGAGTAGAGGGAAGCAAAACTGTGCTTGAAATTTGATGTATGAGAGAAGAATAGATAAATAAATGAATACATAAGCAAACAAATAAATAAGCTCAATGCTTGCATCACCTGCCATCCCTGCAAAACAAAACCTAACCAACAAACCAACCAAACAAACACCAAAAAAATCCCTTACTCTATCTGGTTGGAAAATATAAAAGAAATGGATAATTCTCTTGATTAGTACAACTTACCAAATTTACATCAAGATCAGATAAGTAATTTAAATAAACCTATAACCCCTAATAAAATAGAAGCTGTCATTAAAAGTCTCCCAGCCTGCCTTCACTCAAATGACTTCATTACATTTGCAGGTAAATGAACAGAACTAGAAAAAATCATCCTGAGTTAGGTAATATAGACTGAGACAAAGAAATATGGTATGTATTTGTTTTTACATAAATATTAGACATTAAATAAATGATAACCAACTTACAATCCGTAGATCCAGAGAGGTGAAATATAGAATAAGGGATGGGGTTAGATCTCCATGAAAGGAGGAAATAGAATAAATGTATGGAGACAGGGGGGTGGCAGGTGAGGAGAGGGAACGGAGATAGGGTTGAGGTAGGGAGTGCAGGGAGAGGCAGATAGAGGGTCATTTGAGGAATGGTATAGAAACCTACCATAGTGGAAATTCCCTAAAGTATATGAAGGTGGTCCTAATGAAGTCTCCTAGCAATGGAAGTGATTAATTCCAAATGGGCCATCTCTTGTCTGTTGTGGGATTCCTGCCTGGGTTCCATTGCAGCTTTAGCATCCAAATAACACACAAGACACTATATTACTTATGAAGTGGCTTCTAATTAGCTAGCTCTGACTTAATCATTAACCTCCAATATATATATTTTTATAAGGGCTTATCTTTCAGAGAACACCATACTTGTGTTGTCTCCTCCGAGGATCACATCATGAAAATTTTCTTCACTACTTTCCCCAGAATCCTCCTAGACACCTAGTCCCACCTATCTTGCTTCTCTATTGGCCAACAGTGCTTCATTTACACATACACAGAAGGACTTCCCCTATCATCTCCTTTTTTCTCTCTAAATAAAAAGAAAGTTTATAACTTTAACATAATCAAATTATATATAACAGAACAGTTATCAAGCAAGAAGTATAGTACAATATATAGTACATTAACATTTAGTAAGATTTAAAGAAAGTATTTTATTATCTATCCTATCTGTGTGAGTCTAAAGTCTTACATGAAACTTATCTTTTATCATAACTAATGAAAACTATAATTATAGTTATCTGTCTTCAACTAGATCAAAGACCACAGAAGGGTTATATGTAAGCACTAGAATTGACAGAGATATCTTGCTACCTGGACAGTCACCCAAGGTTCCTCTATAATGTTGGGGCATCTATCTTTAGCCCATAGACCACAGTGTGTCTGGAAGACTTCTCAGAAGAGCAATAAATTTTTAAATTATCCTCCTGCATTGGCAGTTTGTCAGTCATTTTTCTGTGTGCTGCAGAATGTCTGGCAGACTCTTTCATGAATCAGGAACCTGTAGGACTGTCCAAGTTCAGCAGTCACTTTCCTGTGGGTCCTGCATGCCCAGTTTATACAGAAACCATCAAGCAATTTAGTCAAGAGCAGTTTCTTGCCCAAATGGTTAATCTTGCAATGTTGAAAGCAAGCTCCATAAGAAGTTTCTTTGATCCCATCTTCTTCTCAGACATACTTAGTGTTCCAGGAGAAGACATTTCTCATTGTCAAGAAAAATCTTAAACCTATTTAAATGCCATTTTCTGAATGTCATTGAAAGTTTTGAAGACTATCTATCTATCTATCTATCTATCTATCTATCTATCTATCTATCTATCCATCTCAAATATATTTCTGTATACCTCAAAAACCTAACTTACCTAACTATAAGTTCTCACCATTATAATTAACTATCTATAATCTGTACTTAATTATGCATTACATTTTAGAAGATCAGTATAAACACAATACTTAATCAATAGGAGAAATACACATATCCCAAAATGGATATTAAATTTGTATCAATAAATGAAAATCAATTCCAAGAGAAAATATTCATTTCTATATCATATTATATTCATTTTTCCCTTTAGAAAGAGATTGACTGTGATCACTACCATTTATAAGCAATGAAAAAAACATTTAAAAAATATTTGGGAATTTGTCTATTGTTCATTCCAAACTGCTTCCTGATGGATGGGGGTGCTCTCCGTACCATTAGGATCATGACAAACCACAGACAGCTGGCCAAGTCTTTGTTTTTGTAGATTTCAGGGCTGCATCATCTCAGCTGTTTTAGATGTTGGATAACTTGGAACACTATTTCTGGCGGTCTGGCTTCATCTAACCACAGAAGCCTGGAAGGAATCCACAATTTTCCATTTTCTGTGGAAACAAAAACTATTTCCTAAGTAACCTATCCTTACATTTAAATTTAGAAGTCAAAGCATTTTCAAAATACACATGTTGGATTAATTTAGCAGCATTTATAATCAAGTATATTTCAGCAGGTTTTTTTCTTAGCAATTGAACAATGAAAAATACAATAGCATACAGTATCCAGAATCTCTGTGTATTCTCCATCTCTATGTGGCTTTTTTATTACTCTATTTCTTTACTTTTATTCATTTATTTTTTCTATCAGTCAGGGTTTCCCTGTTGTAATCCACCTGCCTCTGCTTCTGGAGCGCTGGGATTAAAGGCATGTGCATTACCACCCAGGCATTCTCTCTCTCTATTTTTTAACAACTTTATCTTGTTTCTTTTTTTTCTTCCAAGCCTACTTATATTTTTTAAACACACTGTAAGCCTTTTAGAGGCTTTACTGCATATGAGTCTGACTTCACTGTAAATCTTTATTATTTCTGGCCATGGGTCTGTTTTCTCCTAACAGCTGCACAGCTCTTTTATCTTCTGTCTTTGTAAGATGGCAGGTGTAAGTTTACCACCAGCACTGGCCCTGCAAGTATCTGTTTGTTTCTAGCAAAACACAGGCCACCTGAGAAAAATACCGTTACCAAGAGCTGTGTTTGCCTTTGTTCTTTTGATTGTAAAATTCTTTTTTAAGCTGTTGTAAAGTTTTAAGTGGAAGTTCTTAATACCCATGTTGTTTACACCATGTTTTTGTTGGATTCCGGCCTAGGTCCTGTTTAGCCCCCAAATAACACACAAGGCACTATATTAATTATGAAGCAGTTGGCCATTTGGTGTGGTTTCTAATAGGCTAGCACTGACTTAATCATTAACCCATAATCACCAATATATATTTTTATAAGGACTTATCTTTCTGAGAATGCCAGACTTGCATTGACTCTTCCAGAGATCACACTGAGATGACTCTCTTCACTACATTTCCCAGAATCCTTCTAGACTCCTAGTCCCACCTATCTTGCTTCCCTATTGGTCAACAGTGCTTTATTTATATATACACATAAGGACTTCCCCTATCAAGTATAACTTAAGGAAGGTTCTAGTGTCTTAACTGGGTTACATTAAATTGAGTTGTTCTCCAGGAGTGTACCATGGAAACGCCTAGACAATCCAGACCATTGCTTACACAACTGGCTATGTGCTGCTCTCTAGAAACTGACTGCAGGTTCCACTTCTTTTATTTTTTCAAGACAGGATTTCTCTGTAATGTTTTGAAGGCTGTCCTGGAACTATCTCTGTAGACCAGGCTGGCCTCGAACTCACAGAGATCTGCCTGGCTCTGCCTCCCGAGTGCTGGGATTAAAGGCGTGCGCAGCCAACACCAGGCATGCAGGGTTCCACTTCTGAGGACAACACCCACACAACTCATTGACCTGGAGTACTCGAGCTGGGCTAGCATGGAGCATTCATCCCTATGTTCTAATGTCTTTGGTGTAAGAGCTTACTTTGCAGGTTACCAAAAATTAAATATGAATACCAACCTAGTCACAAGACGTTTGACCTATGAACTGTCCTGCCTGCAAGATATGCTAGGGCAATGGTGGTTCAAAACCTATGGGAGTAGCTAATCAACGTTTGGTTTGATTTAGCATCCATTCCACAACGTTTGATTTGACTAGAGGTCATTCCACAAGATGCTTTGGTGACCAAGAGTCAGAAAATTGATAGCCCAGAGACCTAATGTCATAGCAACCAGTATTGTCTAAAGAAAAGTGTATCAATTAAATATCTCTTAATAGTATTGTGCTATACTCATAGGTAAGTGTCTATTCAGTCACCATTAGAGATACTTTCTTCTCAGGCAGACAGGAACAGATGCAGCAACCCACAACCAGACACTACACAGAGAAAAGGGGATGAATAAGGGAGAAAGGGAGAGTGAGAAAAAGAAAAATCCTAGGAACAGCAAGTTCTAAATAGGATGTCTCCATTAAATCCTTCCACTTAGAGATCAGGGAACTCCAAAAGAAAGGAGGAGGAAAGAGTGTAAGAGCCAGAGAGGACGGGGGACACCAGGGGAAGAAGGGCCTCTGAGTCAACTGAGCAAGGTTCATACGAACTCACAGAGATTGAAGTTCCAAGTACGGGGCCATCACAGACCTGCACCACTTCCTCTGCATATATATATATATATATATATATATACATATATATATATATAAACTTTCAGATTAGAAACTTTATAGGACTTGTGGTTGTGTGAACAAGTAGGTTTTTATTATGCCCATAAGATGCAGTCACAAAATGTGTTTCGTGGGCAAAAAGAAAAACATTCAGTGAAAATAAAGAGTTCTATAGTATCTCAGTGCAATAACAAAGTAACTGTTATTCTAATTTAATAACTTTCTACTAGATAACCCTGAGTGAATTAAAATGATTGAGGAAAGAAATTGTCATTTTATGCCATTTAGGCAAATTGAGTAAACACTGCCAAGTAGTGTAATTTGTCTATCAAAGATACAGAGGTTTTCTGAGAATACATGCATTGCTTTCAGGGGTGTATCATCATGATATATTTTGCATAATTAACCTCTTCAAATATCATAGACAAAACCTTTGCAAATTTTGACATGCTTACATGATATAAATCTGTAGGGAAATAAAATCAAGTGATTGATGAGAAGAGTGGGACTATATGTATTTTTCAGTCTCATTGGTATAATAGAGTGAGATGATCAATATGGATGCCACCCTTTGCCACTTCTGTGAACATATACACATCCTAAGGAAAAATCAACAATGAATAACTCACTCAGCTAACTCCATAAAAACACATATTATCTACAGTTTCTTAGCATAGTAGAGTATTCCATGATTTTATTATTTAAAAAGTGGGTTTTGTTTGGCATCCAAATGATTAATGAACTTTAAGGATAGAAGTATAAATGTACTTATTCATACAATACAGTGATTTTCTGCTTTTAATAATGACAAGAAACAACAAAGCATAATAGCACTTTCACTTCTTATTGCCAATAGCAGTGAAGGAAAAGATGTCTACTTTAAATACTTATAACCAATGTATTCACTTTTATAAAATTAATCATTCCCAACTCTCATCTTATCTAAGAATTTATGGATAAGTATTACCTTTTATCAAACCTTAATTGATGCTGTTTCTCAGCACGTGACTATGAGAAATATCATGGTAATTCAGCACATTGAGAAAAACCGAAGGCATTCTAACTTCACCAAAACAGATCTAAGAGAAAAACCCCACATAATATGAGTGCAGGATGTAAACAAAAGTACATGAATGTATCATAAACCTAGGATGATTTTTATTCAGATCATTCGGTAGAGATTTTTCAGCTTAAATCACTGAAGATTT